GGCAGGTCAACAAATATATCATCTCATATTAAGTTTCTACCATATCATCAGCACTATAAAGGCACAAAGTATCCCACTTTAATTTTTTTTTATGATTTCAGAGAGGAAGGGAGAGAGAGATAGAAACTGTGAGACATTTCTATCAATGATGAGAGACAGTCATTGATCGGCTGCCTGCTACACACCCCCAACTGGGGACTGAGCCTGCAACCCAAGCATGTGCCCTGAGCAATCGGGAATCGAACAGTGACTTTGTAGTTCATAGGTCTTCACTCAACCATTGAACCACGCTCGCCCAGACAAGACTTTATTTTTTAAAACACTTTTAGGTTCACAGCAAAACTGAGAGGAAGGTACAGAGATCTTCAGTATACCCCTTGCCCTTACACATGCATGGGCTTTCTCATTATCAACATCCCTCACTAAAGTGGTACATTTGTTACCATTGATGAACGTACATTGACACAATAGTGATTGCTCAGAGTCCACACATTACTTTAGGGTTCATTCTTGGTGCTGTTCATTCTATGGGTTTGGAAAAAGTATAATGACATAACGGTATCCTACAAAATAGTTTCACTGCCGTAAGAATCCTCGGTGCTCTGCCTTTCATCCCTTTGTTCCTCCCTAACCCTTGGCAACCACTGATCTTTTTACTGTCCCCATAGTTGTGCCTTTATTGCTTGACATTTTGGAAAAGCAGATTTGTCTTTCAAATGATTGTTTGCTTAGGTTTTATATTAAAATTAGTTCGTATTTTCTATAAATTGACTACACAAGCTAACCAGGCAGGCAAAAAGGGTGGCCTGGAAATTCATAGAGCAGGTGGTTTATATATGAAACACTAAAAGAGATATGTACTCATTAGTATTTCATTGTTCTAAATATCCTAAAGTTCAAGGACTCTTATGGAGGATACCTGGTACACATTTTATATGCTGGCTTGTTTTTGTGACTACTATATAAAATATGTGAGAAGGAACTGACTCAGAGAAACTTGATTAAATTACACACAAAATAGCTATTCAAGGACAGGTGACAGCATAAAGCAGTTTTTCTACAGTTTTTTGTGTTTTTTTATGAAGAGAATTACCATCTCCACTGTCCACTTCCACCAACCAAATAATCTCTCCTTGTCTCCCCATGAGGTGATGGCTGTGGGAAAATGCTGAAGAAATGGTAATTGAAGATGAGGCTATTCAGTAAGTTAAGTAACTATGACCATGCAAATGGGGCAGAGGAGAGCCGTATTGTCAGCAAAGAGAGCCCCGCACAAAAGTTCCATAGAGGGGTCAGCATTTAGGCCTCAGTGGCAGAAGCAAAAAAAGATATGTCCAAGGGGAGAAAGGGAAAGGGTGTCCAGCCCAAACTTCCTGAGTTTCAGAATTCTTTTCCAGGCTGCCCTGGGACTGAGGAGTAGGAAGTCTTTCGGTCCTTCATTTGCCTGGCCCAGGGTTTCTCAGCCTGGCACTATTGGCATCAGGACTGGATAGTTCTTTGTTGTGAGGCTGTCCTGTGCATTGCAGGATGTTTAGCAGCAGCATCCTTGGCCTCTAACCACTGGATGTAGTAACAACTTCCCCAACCCTACCCCTTCAGTTTGTAAAAATCAAAATCGTCTCCAGTCCCACTGGTAGTTGCCAATAGCACCCCACAGATGTCACCACCTCAAACGCTTCAGCATTTCCTAGTGCCCCTTGGAGTACAAAGTCACTCCCAATTAAGAACCACTGATCTAACACCCTCCTTAGGGTACTGGTTTGTACACACACCTACACTTGACCTTACTTGTAGAATAGAGAACTTGACCTCTAAATGTGTTTTGCACCTCCCACTGAAGTATGTTCCAGGGGCCAACTGACTGACTTACAGTAAACTTTTCTAACACAGCTCATTTATTAATGAGGAATGTGTATCTGCCTGTGTTCTTACTCCAGACACAGTGTGCACTAATGAAAGACCGAAGATGATAAGCAGGAAAGATGTGGTTGTGTCCTGCCAAACATCTTTTATACCTAAAGTTGTACGTCTCCATTTGCATTGGTGATTTTTTTTTAAAAAAATAGCACTTCATTCATGCTTGCATATTGTATGATTTATTGCATTCTGTATCTTTTCACTAAAAGGAACAATAAACTAGTAAATATTGGCACAAAGAGAGGGCACATTTTGAACTTCAGTTATTTAGTATTTTAAAACCAGTTTTTACCTGTTAGTGTGGCTCAGGAGAGCAAAACTTTGAGTTCAATAAAATGGTTCTAAATCTCAAAAGCTTAGGGTGAAGATGACATTAGTCACTTCCATTTTATGAAATTTATGACAAGTTTTTAAAGAACCCTGTCTGAGAGTCAGAAACAAAGTGACTGCGGTCTGGACTTTTCCTCTAATGAGCTCTGTGACTTGGGGAAATCACTCACCTCTCTGGGTTTAGAGATTCCTCATCTCTCAAATCTAGGGGACAGACTGACTAGATGGCATCCCAGATCTGTGTCAACTCAAACATAGTGTTAAAATTTACAGTATGTTCATGAACTAGGAAATTTAAATTCCTTTGAGTTTTAAATCTGTTACAGAGTAGTGAAACCTAAAGGAAGAAGAAAAACTAGAACAAGGTTTAAATTTCATTCAAAGACAACTCCAGATAAACGGATGTATTAAATTGAGCTGTGTCATATAAATGGAAAGAGGTACTCATTCAATACTAAAACTTACTAGCTCAAGACTACAGGAGGTGGTTTTTGTGGGTAACCAGGCTTGCTATCAACTACTCTGCTAGAGGAATATTTGAAAGTTTAAAAAGCAAGATTGTGCCTTTGACAATAACTGAAAATCAAGCTGTCAGTATCATTTTTGCTCCCATTTTGTATAGAAAGATAGTGAAAACATCAAATAGTGTGAAGGAAATCTTATGGTCCGTCATCTCTATAAAATCATTTAATTGGCTCTGGCTAGTTTAATCTGTGAGTCTTTTAAACACAGTAGAGACAGCTTTTGAAAGAGCAGTGTCATCTTTCTTACATAATCTAGCTCAGCAAATGTAGTATCCTGCCTTTAACAGTGTATTTTATTGATAAAATGTAGATTTGTATGTTCTTTGACCAATTCTGCAGCTGGGTGTAGAGAAACATTCCATTCTAATTCCTGAAATAATTACTTAATCTCTTACATTAGCAAATATATTTTTGTTCGCAGTTAATATGCAAAGCTTCAAATGTTATATTTCATAAAATTAAATAGCTCCTTTTCAAATTTAGCTACATTTGATCATTATCATTCAGAACAGTGACCAGAATAATAAAAACTAATTCTCTTCTTACCTGAACACTTTTAATTTTTCTTCCTGCATTTTAATTGCTTTACTAAATTATAGACATAATATGGATGCTTTTAACCATTTTGAGATTGATTGTTAATGAAAGGGGCATAGAGAGAGGAGAGCTAATCTGGAGCTTGTCTCTAAAATATAGTTATTGAGTTATGCCAAATATAGGGTGTCCCCCCAAAATATATACACATACTTTGAATAATTATAAAGGCAGTATTTATTAAAATACATTTCATTTTCATAATTGAGCTATCAGTTATTAAAGTGTGTATGCATTTATGGGGGGACACCAGGTATTTTGTCAGATTTCTCTATTTTCTTATTTAAGTGATAAATTCCCTTTCAGGATGATCATTAATTTTTGGCTGTTGGTTTATCTCTTTTACATGCAAACTGAGACTTAGATTTAGCAGCAATCTTTGAATAAAAGCTGAGGTTTGCCTTTGAAGTGTTAGGGCAAAGTCCTAAAGTTTACCTAGGCTTTATTGTCCTTAATATAAAATGGAAATAGTGGCTCTTTCTTAAGAATGCAGTGGAGGAAGCCTAATGAGTTCATGCCAAATACTAGGATTTAATCAAATTTTCTTAGCATCTTTCTGCTCCCATCAAGTAAGATTATAGTAGCTGAATGGGTAAAATGTCAAGAGTAGAACTCAGTCTTTCCTATAACTTCCTCTCTTATTAATAGGGTCAAAGGAAACAGTCATTTGGGAGATTTAGAGATACAGTGAGGAGGAGAAAGAAATCGTGCATGATTTTCCGAAATCATGCAAATTATTGTGCTCTGATAATGCAGTTGGAATGGAAACTCTACTTTTGAAACAGATGTCGCTTTTTTTCCATAAACAAAAAGGAGCGCCAGTGTTTTCTTGTCTCTAAAAGGAAACATACTTCATAGCTCCATTAATTTAAAAACACTAAAACAACAGGGTGGCAGCACTCAGTAAGAAACCAGTGTGGCTTTCAGCTACATTTCTGTTGCTTCTAAGTGCTTTTCAAATATTATGATTAACTATATTCTTTCTGCTTACCCTAATTTCCCGTGCTATTCCTTAAGCTGGCTGATCTACCCCCTCAGCAAGAAAGAAAATGAGAAGAAAATAGTTTATGTCTTACTGTGGTGATTGCTATGTCTTGCATGAAGCTTTCTTTATATGTAAATTGTATTTCTCTCATTCCAATCCATTATTTTTTCCTGTCTCTGGATGTAAAGTTTTTTAGCGATGGTGATTTTGTCAGATGAGAACAGACAGTTGGTGAACGTTCTGTGGCTTTTCAACCCTTTTTCCATATCTTACTAAAGTCCTTCTCCATGCTAAACACCTAGAAATATTTAGATGCCCAAATATTCAAGAAAATATCTATTACAATGCTTGGTTTTCTTTGTTTTCACCATATTGTGTCATTTGATGAGGTAATCATAATATTTTGTAGAAATGCTTTCCTTTCTAGAATTAAATTTGATTCTAATGTTATTACTATACATTATATTCTTCTGTTACCTAGGACCAAAGGAGGCTTTTTTCTTCTCCTTGCCTCCCTCTGTTATAAAAGTTGACAGATGTGAATCATAGGCAGCTAAAGAGGGTATGTCAAAATGGGGCCATAAAATGCATTTAATTTAGGAGACTTGGAGCTATTTTGAACATGTTACATCACTATTCTTTGCAAATAGGAGGAAGAAGGAACCTATGACCAAACTCTTGAGTTCCGTAGAGGAGGTGATGGCCAGCCTAGGAGGTCCACTCGGCCAACCCAGCAGTTTTACCAACCACCCCAGGCTCGGAACTAATATGAAAAGGTAAGGTTCACATTGTAAGGTGGTTTCCATATTTAAAAAGGTGTTATTCATGTGGAATAAGTAAGTTTAATTATTAATATTTCATAACAATGTAGTATTAGAAAAAAACTCATGTTTTAAAACTTTCAATTATAAAGTATGTATGATTAAACCATAGTTAGAAATTACTTTTCCACCAGCCCTTTGTTCACCAATGCTATCCTTAATCCCCGTTTTCTCCGTACCTACTCTCTCCTAATGGAGGGGTACAATCAGCGAAGTGACTATAAGTTTGAAAGCAAGAAGGTGAAAGAAAACAAAGTAGTAGCTGGAATAATTGAGTAGATTTTTTTAATTAATTCAGTTCTTTTTAAGAAAGAAGATATGTTTCACTCATGATCCATTTAGACCACTTGCCATTCTTGCTACAGTTTGCTGTGTGGAAGGCCATCATATATACTAAAAGAGAAACATGTAAATTGACTGTCCCTCCACTATGCTCACCAGCCAATCAGGATAGTATGCAAATTAACCCAACAAAGATGGCAGGTTAATTTGCATACACAGGCGCCAAGGGGCCTGAGTCCCGGGAACATCCTCAGGACCCAGGCTGCTCCTAGCCTGTAGACCCGCACATAGGCCCTGAGCAGCCGGGGTCCCAGAACGCCCCCAGCCACTCTGGGCCTACAGGCGCAGGAGCCAAGTGAATGCTCCCGCCCTGTGGCCGCTTGCGCATGCGCCGGCGCCAAGCGGCGGCCCAGGTCCATACCCGCCATCCCAGCGGCTATCACAGGGTGAACAGGCCAGGCCTCCCCGCGATCCCAGGCAAAGAAGCTGCTCCGCTGACCAGCCTGCGCTATGGACCTGTTCGGGTGGGTGGCGCGGAGTCCGGGGCCTCTAGCCTGTAGCCACGGGAAGTCTCCCTTTCCCCAGAGTTAGGAGCACCAGCCCAGGTCCACCCAGTGGCCTGGTCCTGATTGTGGGGGTGAGTTCCTGCAGGCTGGGGTTTGATCCCTAGGCATTAGCAGTAGGAGACCAGTGCCTTTGTTATTGCTGTGTGTCCGGGTTTTAATTGGACAAATGCTCAGCGGTCCTGGGCACCAGCTTAGCAAAATCTTTTAGGAGGAGAATTCTGTCTGGGTTTCCTCAAATTCCCTCAGCCCCTACTCACCGCTCTGTAAAGGCACAGAACAAGTGAGGCCCCTTAAATATAAATCAGAGGTCTCCAGCATGGTGGGCCTCTCTCATCACATGGAGGCCCTAAGGGTACTACACTTTGATATTTGAGTCATTCTTTATTGTTCAATGTGATTTATTTCTGCACGCCTCAGTTTTGTAATAGTTAAATTACTAGAATAATACATCTTGCTATAAAACATTACTAGAAGAGCAAATGATCAGGTGACATTGTTATTTTCTATAAATGAACATAATCTCTGGTATGCTAAAGTGATAGGTTTTATAGAAATATTCAGATAGGGAGACCTACAGGCTTGATTACAGGTGAGGCTTACTATCACAACCCAAATTTATTGCTTAAAAAAAAAAGCAGGAGCCAACTAGAAGCTGAACCAAATATAAACCCTTGAAGGGCAAATGGAACTTGGATAAGCTTTGCTATTACAAGAGCAAGAAGAAAAAATTCAGATGCAAGAATGAGAAGCACATTGCATCCACTCTAAGTTGCTGTTAAAGAAAAAGAATGATATACTATGAAAATACTTAATACAGATTGTAAAGAGATTTGTTCAAAGAGGATTTCCTAGAGTAGGTGGTATTTCAGTTAATTTTTTAAATGTGAAGAGGTTAGCTAGATTTTTAAAAAAAGGTATAGGGGTCCCGAATTGCAGAGGGTGCAGGCAGGGCTGAGGGACCCCCCACCCCATGCACGAATTTCATGCACTGGGTCTCTAGTCCTATATAATAAAAGCATAGTGTGCAAGTTGTCCCCTCGACCGAGAGTTCATCTGGGAGTTCGACCAGGGGGTGGAGCCGGCCAGGGGAAGGGGGGGAGGCCCCGGCCAGCAGCCGCTAGGGACCCTACCAGTGCGTGGATTTCATGCGCTGGGCCTCTAGTATTTCAATAAAGGTTGAGTTCAAGAAACATCATTTTAAAGGACATGGAGAAAAGAGGCATACAGATGAAAGGGAGCCAGTAGTCTCTGCCCAGATCATCTGACTAGCAGTTTTCAACCTGGTTATGCTTTAGAACCTGAGATCTTCTAAAAACAATACCCTGCGCCCCACCCCAGACCATTTATATTAGAAGTTGGGGTGATGGGGCCCAGGCATGCAAACCACTGATCTAAATACTCCACAGCAGGAGTTCCCAACAGTGGGTGGTCTTGCTCCCCCAGGGGACATACCACTGTCAGAAGGCCTGTCTGGTTATCACAACTGGGGGAGAGGAGGGGATGCCACTGGCATCTAGTGGGTAGAGGCCAGGGATGCTGCTTTAGTAAATGCACAGGGCAGCACCCCCAGGGCAGTGACCTTTCCCAAAATGTCAACAGTGCTGAGATTGAGAAATTCTTTAAAATAAAAACACTGCTTCGAAGTCAAGAGAGAGAGAGAGCGAGAGAGAGAAGGAGAGGAAATGTTTCATAGTATATCTTAAGGAATTGGGTGAAGACAACATGAATGCTTATTGAGATGTAATTTTGGGGCCCTAGGCCATCAAGCCAGAAACTTTCATCTTAGAGTTTTAGAAAGAGAGTTGCTATCTGAATATCTTCCATAGGAAGGAAGAGGAATGTGACAAGAAAATCAGGAAATTATAGGATTAATCTAAGGCATCTCATTGTGATGACCAAAAACCTTATTAATGTGTTTTTGCCATGTTTGGTAATATTTCTATTTTTTACTTATGCCAGGGCCTTTGAATATTTCTTTAATAATCAGAGTTTTCTCATTACAGTTTTTGTTATATTTTACCCTAAAGAGAATTTTGGACTTAACTGTATCTTTTTTTCTCATGTATTTTCTTCTCAATAACAAGACCATTGAGAATTTTAAAGAAATTGTTCTCAATTCATCATTTTAGCTATTTATTCTGCTACAGCTGTTATCCACATTGTATCTTTCCCCTGCTAAGTGACTCCATTTTTCATACCAACTGTGGCTGTTTAGGATTGGAAGTGCAGCTAGCCTGAACTGAGATGTGCTATCCATGAAAAATGCATACCAAATTGTAAAGACTGAGTTTTAAAAAGTAAAATATCTCAATGATTTTTATTGATCATATTGAAATGATATCTTAGAGAGATTGCGTTAAGTAAAATATGTTATTAAAATTAATTTTACTTACTTTTACTTTTTTTATGTGGCTATTAGAAAATTAAAAATGGCTCATGTCTCACTTTCTATTTCTGTTGGACAACACTGGCCCAGAGTCTTGCATCTTCTTCAGCTTCCCCAAAGCTCCTCCATTGGTTAAAAATTAGTTGTGCCATCTCTAAGGGAAGATACCTTTATTTCCTAGCTCTTTGCTCCTTATGTAGTCATCTGCCTGAGGAGGAAGCATGGCTTCTGATTTACCAGAGCAAGCCAGCTAGCAACTTTTTCCTTTATCATTGACTTTTCTTTGTGCTTAATACAAGGCCATTAAGTAAATAGATATAAACCGCTTAAATAAAATGGTAGTAAAAAACTTAAAATAAGTTTAGGGTACTTACAGTTACATCTCTTTTCAGGTGAATGAAAACTGAGACTTCCCTCTTAGCTTTCTGAGGTCTTTTAAATTGTTTAAGACAAGATTTTAGTATAAGGCCAAAGGTCCTTATACTACCACTAGCATCCCCACATACACATATTCTTCCCCAAGGGTAGGGAGGGATAATATTCTACTTGAGCTTGGTATTAAGGACATTAGTGACTAACAGAAACAGGAGATACATGGGAGCCAGGGGTAGGTGGGAGAAAGGGGTCTCATGGAGCCATTGGGGACATAGACCCACCTCTGAGAAAAAATGGTGGCAGGTCAGGTCAAATCCTTCAGGGGAGATGAGGCCCCAAATGTCAAACTTCTAGTTCCTAAACTTCTCATAGTTGTTACAGACAAGTTAGAAATATGAGCAAATATGGATAGAGAAATTATGTAAAGGTCTGTAATCAATGAAACTGACCCCAAACTATGTGCATTTGATGAGTTTCTGACGTGATTGGGGTTATAGGAACTAGACTTCAGTAGTAGGGGTAGAGTTTAGAAATCAATTTTAAGCTTCATTTTCTTGGCAGGATAGAGTCCTCTGAAGAGATGCTAAAGGCCGGGGAAAGCTTAAGGAGGAGAAGAAGCATAGTGCACAGGAAGCAGCTTTCAGTGGCTACATAGCGTATAAACCAATACAGTTGGTGTTAAATATCTGCACTAATAAAGACAAACATGCAAATTGACCATACCTTTGCTACACCTTAAGCCATGCCCACCAGCCTATCAGAGCGACTATATGCAAATTAACCCAACCACGATGGTGGCTGGCAGCCACAGAGCTGGAGCAAGCAGGAGGCTTGGTTGCCCCACTGATGGAGGAAGCCAAGCTTCCCGCTTACCGCAGCAGGCTCTGAGCTCCACTCAAAGCAACAAAGTTTCAATTATAGAAGGTAAATAAATCCCAGAATAAAAAAAGAAAAAAAGGAGAGGCTGGGAGTTTCCGTCACCAGGGGGCTTGGCCAGCCTGAAAACGACCCTCAACCCCTCACCCAGACTGGCCAGGCACCCCAGTGGGACCCCCCCCCTGATCCAGAACACCCTTCAGGGCAAACCAGCGAGCCCCCGCCCATACACCAGGACTCTATCCTATATAATAAAAGGGTAATATGAAAACTGACCCTAACAGCAGAATCACTGGGAATGACTGGTCACTATGACACACACTGACCACCAGGGGGCAGACGCTTAATGCAGGAGCTGCCCCCTGGTGGTCAGTGCACTCCCACAGGGGGAGCTCTGCTCAGCCACAAGCCAGGCTGACGGCTGCCAGCACAGCGGTGGTGGTGGGAGCCTCTCCCGCCTCCTCAGCAGCCCCAAGGATGTCCAACTGCAGCTTAGGCCTGCTCCCCGCTGGCAAGTGGACATCCCCCGAGGGCTGCCGGGCTGCCAGAGGGATGTCTGATTGCCATCTTAGGCCCAATCCCCCAGGGAGCGGGCCGAAGCCAGCAGGTGGACATCCTCCGAGGGGTCCCAGACTGCAAGAGGGCATAGGCCGGGCACTTAGCCTCCAATATATATATATATTGGTGGTGGCTGAAGATTATGGCTTTAGACATCTTAAGAGTTTGAAGTGTACAACACTATCATGAACTTCCAAATAAGAGTGATATGATTGAAATTACACTTAAGAAATATTGCTGTTGTATGTAGGATGGATTACAGCACCTGGAGGGAAAGCATGTAAGCAGCTAAATGCAGTAGTCTAGTGGAGGAGAAGGTTAGGGTTTCTGTCTTGCTGTGAAGGGGGAAATGGCTGGCCTGTGTGGGAAGGTTTGAAAGATACCTCAGCATGAGGCCCCCGATGCAATGGAGGTTCAAGCTCAGCATGTGAAGCAGTTTTATAATTGTTGACTCATTTTGAACTTCATTTCTTATTTGTTTGATGAAAGAATCATCTTTGCATTTTCACATATTAACCACAAACTTTGAAACCTATAGCTAAGCATAGACTGCTACATAAATAGCATGACTTTGTTTATTTTCTAAGGTTTTAACACCATTTTTAGCTGGTAAAAGATCTATTTTTAAAAGTGGAAAATTGTCTTGACAATATGATCCAGCAGAATTTTCAAATCAAGGCCAGGAAAGTGATAAGGATAGCTATTACAGAACCCTGTGGTGCCAGTAGGGAGGGCATCATGTGAGGGTAATAGTACAGAGCTCTTCATTTTCTAAGCAGGAGACTGTTTACTCAGGAGACTTATGAGCTGTTAGTATGCAGCCATGGGAATTCTGCCCAAACATGCTTTTATGCATGAAGCTCATATAGGCCCAGAACAATCACGGCTCATCTCTTCACTTCTCTCAGCTTTCTGTTGTCACCACCCAAAATGTTTGAACTAGAGTGGTACCTGATAAAGGTGGGGAGCAGGCAGGGGAGGTGACAGACACAAATAAATACCCTGTGTGGACTAAACTAGTTTGGAGATATTCAGAGGATAGGGTGGAGGTAGAACTGGTTCATTGGCATGCTGCTTCTTTTTAAATCATTTCCTGTTAAAAACTATTCAGTTAATGGAAATTCCTGAAATCAATTTGCTAGCAGTACAGGGGCTAATGGTGACAGAGATGTATTTTAAGAGTTTAAAAGAAAAAAATATTTAAAAAGATTTTGCTTTGGGGCTTGCATATTACTTTATATAAATTATGTTTATAAATAAGTAATAACTTGCAATCTATTGATATTTCTACAGGCACTTCACATTTACAGGTAAGTTTCAGCAGAACTGTATCCTGAGTATGGAAAAGTCAATTTGTGGGTCCAATTTCACTTTCTTCCTCCCTTTTTTTAAATAGAGTCTTTGTGAAGAAAGGAGCAATTGGCAGGAACATCCTGGTCAAAACCTCTTGATAGACCTTCTAATTTCCCTTCAGAATAAGATGCAGCCATGGTGGATATTATTATTTCAAGAATGAAAAAGCAGATTTGAGGGGGGGGAATGCAAGTGAAAGAATTTTTTCTTCTGCCATCAATAAAATCAGTGCGCTATTACATACCTTGTTTTACAGTATGTTTTATTTGCTGAATATTGTCTTTCTACTTCACCTAGTGTTAACACCACACTAATTGCCTTCTATCAATAGAATAGCGATGATAGCATACCGGAGCCTCCCCTAATAATTACAGAATAAACTGACTTACACAGCTGGCCACATTTCTTGCAAAAACAACCTGAAGCCAAATAGCATTTCTTAGTATGGTAAGTACTTAGCTACTAAGTGCAGCAGCAAAAAGTATTTAAAATTCAAATATGTTGTTTTTAGCACTCTATTAGCTTTTTCAAATGCAATTCAATTTTAAAAAGGCATTTCCTTGTAATATGTGCAGTGGGTTTTTCAGGATTCATTTAAGTTGCAAATAACAGGCAACTCTATTCAAACTGCTTTCTTGATTCATTTAAACACTAAAGAGAATTTACTGGCTCACACATATCACTACCAGAAGCTCAGTAGGTTTCAGTTGGTTTAATTCAGTGACTCAGACTTGTCGTGAAAGACCCTGATTCTTTTTTTTTATTTATTTTTATTTTAATTGTTTTATTGCTTAAAGTATTACAAAGAGTATTACATATGTCTCCTTTTTTCCCCACCCTTGACAATCCCCTGGCCTCCCCTACCCCCCAGTGTCTTATGTCCATTGGTTATGCTTATATGCTTGCATACAAGTCCTTCGGTTGATCGAAGGAAAAATACCACATGATCTCACTCATTTGTGGATAATAAAGACCATTATAAACTTATGAACAAAAATAGATACAGAGGCAGAGCAGCTCAAACAGGAGGGGAGGGTAAGAGACCCTAATTCTTTACATCTCTCGTGTTTACTTGCTCTGTCATCAGCTTCATTCTGCAGGAAGCTTCCCCATGTGGTCACCGATGGTTATGCTTCCCAGAGCTATTAAGTGCTGGGACCATTTCTACAGTAGAAGTGCACTCAGAAGAGAACAGAAGCTCCTCTCCTTAGGCCACATTTACCTGTATTGTGCTACGTTTGTGCTTAAGAACCAGTGACTTCACAAGGGTCTGTGGATTCATTTAGGCCTGATCCAGCCTGACAGGTGGGGCTGGTCTGCTTTTTTTTTATTTTTTAGGTCAGAAAACATCTAACTTTATTTTTCCTCCAAATCAAACAACCATGGTAGTACCTTCCTTTTAAATATTCATCTCACTCCTAAATCCTGAAGTAAATGGAGCCTTGCTATGTGTTTGTCACAACAAAAGAAAATGCCTTCAGTGCTTCATGGCCAAGTTCTAATTACTTAGCTGCTCCAGGACGCCCCCGCAGGTGTTTTCTTCTTGAATTGTCTCCACTTCAGCCCCTTCTCCCAAACAGGAAGAAGACATCATTTTAAGATTCATGGTTTTTAAGAGGTTTACCTTCTCTTTCTCCTCCGCTCCTCCTTTTCCTTCTCCTTCTTCTACTTGTTCTGTTAAAGAAATAACAGGCCCAAAAGGTAATAACTTGTCCCTAACAACAGCAAACCAGGAATGAATTGCAGTTTCAGTCTTTCTCAGGACTATCACCTTTAAAAAGGCAATGTGAAATTTTCTGATTAGCACTAGTTGGGTAATCTGCATGATCTTCAAGATAAAGCCCTGATGATGGTGAAAGGAATTTTTAGGAGTAAAATAGGCAGGTTTAGGAAATTTTAAGAATTAAGGGGTCCATTTGAAAAACATAGGTATACAGAGCTGCAAAGGGTACATTTCCATAAGATAAGGGAGCTGGGAGCTACAAAAGGTACGCATTTACAGAATAAAGGGAAGGAAGCCCCTCACTCAAAGAGGGGGGAAGAAAGCCCAGGGAGAATAGAGCAATAAGGGGGAAGAAGGAGGGAACCTCATGTACTTCACCTGAGGTTTGAGCTCAGGAGTTGCTATAGTGACCAATGTAACGGGGATAGTGGCCAATC